TGTTTGCATATATGGGAAAGTCTGCAAGGACTTCAAAGTCGAGCCAAAGGGATGTGGACAGGTAACAACGGGCTTCACAACCATAGAGGCCCTTTGCATTGCTATATCCTGAAGGTCTAGAAAAGACCCTAACACATAGTAGGCATATAAAATTCCTGTGTTGATTGTCTAAAATGAATTAAAGATCAAAAAAATCACAAAGAAGCTATAAAATACAACTAAAGAGGAAAATTCCCATAGAACATAAATTGTGGATACATATAAAATAGTACTTTGAGATAAATTAATAGCCAAAGATGCTTATAATACTGAATATGACAGTCTAAAATTTAATAGTCTAAGCTTTCAACTTAAAGCCTTGGGGGAAAAGCAAAGTAAGCACAAAGAATGCCAAATAATGAAGTAATAATTAAGTAGCCGATAAAACTATCATGGAGAAAATGATTCAAAAGTTGGTTTTCAAAAAGAATATTAAACTGATAATCATCCCTTTTAAAATATTAATTTTAAAAAGAGAGAAGGGTAAAGTACCAATAAACAAAATGTGATTAAAATAAGAACACAACTACAGGTACAACAGAGAATAGTACAACAAAAGAACATTATGGGTGATGCTCTACCCACCTGAAAATTCCTTTTGTGAAATGAATTAATTGGTAATTAAGCATCTTCCCATATAAAGAAATGCCACACCCAGATGACTGTGCAGGCAAGTTTCTGCCAAGTGCTCAAAGAATAAATGATTGCAATTTTGTGCAAACTTTTACAAAGAGTACAAAAGGAGGCAATTTTTAAGGAAGCTATTTAGTTATTGCTGAGAGAATTGCTCAGAATTTTACAAGCACAAGTGATTATATGGTGTTGGCAAAGAAAGAGGAAAGAGATTAAGAGAAGTGAGACAGAATCCATTAACAGAATTATGTGACTATGCAAGCATTTTCTATGATGGAGATTAGGCAGAAGGGTAGAAAGGACCAAGAGGGAGACCATGCAGGATCAAATGGGAAAAAAATAAAATTGAATTGAAGGGCATAAATAAAAAGAGCAAAACTTGAAAATATTTTAGAAGAAAATGTCAGTGAATTTCTTTATGAACTCCAGATTAGGAAGAATTTTTTAGCAAGACAAAGAAATGCAGGCCCTAAAGATTAAATAAATTCAAGTACTTCAGAATTAAGGATGAGGAGAAGTCAATTGAAAGATATATAATCTACAAAAGAGGTTAAAAACAAAAATTACAATTTTTTTTAAAAAGAAAAACCTACTAGAAAAAGGGGCAAAAATCAAGCTTCACAGAAGCAGAAACACAAATGGCAAAATATAAAAAGGAGCTGCACTCATTAGTAATCAGAGAAATCTGTATCAGACCACAAGATTTCCTTTCAAGTCTACCAAAATAACAAAATTAAATACCCAAACAATACAAAGTGCTAACACAAAGGGGATTTTCATTCACTGCTGTGGAGAGTATAGGAAGCTACTTTGCAAAATAACTTATCGCTACCTAGCTAATTAGAATCCACATATCCTAAATTTCTAATTTCTATTTCTATTTCAATTTCTAATCCAAATATTAGCCTAGAGAAAGTTTTGCATACATTTACCAGGAAACACAAACAAATGTATTTAGAACAGCATTGTTTTTAATAATGAAGTAAAGAAAAACTAGAAACAACTGAAAAATCCTTTACCCAAAATAGAAATGAATAAACTACCAAATGTTCAAAGAATAAATGAACAAACTGTGGCTATATGCATCAACATGAATAAATCTAATATAAAAAGTGAACAGAGTGAGTCTTAAAATACTTACAATATGTTTCCTTTCATACAAATGTCAAAAAATGCAAATTTAAGCAATGTATTATTTGAGAACATAAAGAAATGTAAGGAACTGCTAAACACAAAAGAAACACTGGCCTTCTGGACTCACCATGGATCTATCACTCTCCACAAAGCCCTGGGAACTTTTAAATCTAGAAATCTCCCCCTGCTGGATCCCTTCTGATATTTATCACCAAGATAAAGAGACCTAGAACAGCTTCCTACAGATGACATCTTAACCTGACATTTTCTCTGGGGATGTGCAACATATTCCATAGCACTTCAAAAATATTTATGGTATTTTACCCTTTATTTGAATTAAAATTTAAGACTCTTATGTAAAGCACTTCAATGACATTGAACCTATTTTTAGACTAACTCAAAGAACTGGAAGTCAAATTGGAAGCTATTAATTGAGGAAAGGAAAATTGCTACCACAAGGACAGGCTTTAGGATTCAGCTGGGAAGTCCTCACATTATTAGACTAATAAAGAGGTGTTAGGTTTGACAATTTCTTACAAAGTCGAGTTTGGCAGTTACACAGTGAGGCACTATTGCTTATTTGAGAGATATGTAACAGTTTTGTAGACATTAAAATTCATAGTAAATAATAGATTCTATAGTGTTCCTTGTTGGCATAAATCATTGGAAATGATCTGTTATCATCAATGTTCTTAGCTAATCATGAAACTGAAATGCACAAACTTCATTCTATAAAAGAGGGTATTTAACTTAGCAGTGAAAGTTAAAGCAAAGGAATAAAATAAGCATAGAAGAGGAAAAACTAAGAAAGCCTAAATCCTCTAGTTTTATAATATAATTGAAAACAAATTGGTTTCCAACATAGAAATAATTAGTAAAGTATAATAAAATCAATATAGTGGATAAAATTTATTATAAACGTTCTCTTTAAGAGTTAAACTCCTCCCTCTCCTTGGTCTATACCCAAAGGACTTAAAAACAGCATACTTCAGGGACACAGCCACATCAATGTTTATAGCAGCACAATTCACAATAGTTAAACTGTGGAGCCAACCTAGATGCCCTTCAATAGATGAATGAATAAAAAATGTGGCATATATACATAATGGAATATTACTCAGCAATAAAAGAGAATGAAATCGTGGCATTTGAAGGTAAATAGATGGCGTTGGAGAAAATAATGCTAAGTAAAGTTAGCCAATCCAAAAAAAAAAATGCCCAATGTTTTCTCTGATATAAGGAGGCTGACTCATAGTGGGGTAGGGAGGGGGAGCATGGGAGGAATAGATGAATTCTAGATAGGGCAGAGAGGTGGGAAGGAAAGGGAGAGGGCAGGGGATTAGCAAGGATGGAGGAATATGATAGACATCATTATCCAAAGTATATGTTCTGAAGACACAAACTGGGTATCAATTTACTTTATATTCAAACAGAGATATGAAAAATTGTGCTGTTTATGTGTAATAAGAATTGTAATGCATTCCATTGTCATTTATTTTTTTAAAAAAATCAATAAAAAAAGAGTTAAACTCCTAGTGGCATAAAGTAAGGTCAAAATCTAAAGGCAAAATACAAAACATCAGGTATCTCAACAAGTAATCTTGTATTATATGAAACACACCCCTTTAAAATTGGGTCTGACTTGTTCCAATCCCCTCTTCCACCTCTAGTTGTACACACACACAGAGAAAGAGAAAGAGTTTAGTAAGCCTTTTCAGGTCCAGAAAGCTTAGTAACTGCTTACTGAGAAATTAAGTTACTTAATAAAAGCCTCAGCTTTGTTAACAGGAGACACAGGATTAAGTTCATAGTGCACTTTGAAACTGATCTCATGCTGGAATCAAAAAAGACTGACAATTATTTGTTAGTAGTGACTATCATGTTTGTATGTACTAGGCTGATGTTAATTTTTTTTTCTTTTTCTTTTTTTGAGTGGAAGAGTACTGGGATTGAACCACCCATGGACACTGTACTCCTCAGCTACATCCCTTGCCCTTTGTTCATTTGGAGACAAGGTCTCACAAAGTTGTTGAAGCTAGTCTTGAACTCGCAATCAGTCCTCCTGCCTCAGATTCCAAAGGAGCTGGGATTACAGGTATGTATCACCAAACCTGGTTTGATACTATATTCTTAAAATTCATCACCCTGTGCCACTCTGGTCATGACAATAGATTTGGAAAGAGTTAGAGGTCCCAAAGAGACAACTAGAGTCAATGGATAGATGTTAAAGTCTGCCAATATCAGTGCAAAATGAGGAATTCTAACCCTCAAAGAGAGAAAGGGCTGCCCTAGGTCATTGTGAATCCATGAGTCAAAGCTAACCAAGATGACAACTTGCAGTGTTATTGTCAAGATAAAAAGTTAAGAGCATGTTCTTTTGTGTGACAGGGACTTTCATTCAGAGACCAGCTTCAACAGGGTCATGGAACTTACTACTCAAAGCTTTAGTTCTCTCTTAAGATTTTGGTAGGGACTAAATGGGATTGTATATGTGAAGAACTTACCAGAATTGGTGATACTCAGTAACTATTCATGTTGTGATCACAGGGACTACATTATTTACCGGAAGAACTAGCCACCTTAGGAGGAGATGAGGCTACCCAAGTGGAAAAAATCAAATCCAACCCCAATAGCCCATGTGTCTGCATAAAATGCCTTGCAGATGAAATGTGTATTTTGACGGGTGGTAAAAAACTGGGGTTATTTATTTTATGGTTTACTAATGGCATTTTCAACACTGAAAAAAAAATAAAAACGTAGTTATTTTATTTAGTAAGAGAATTATGTGATCAATCATAAGAGGTATTTAATGTTGCTATTTTATCTCAGGCTACCAATTCACAAATCACCTTTCATAGAGCATTATATGACAATTAGTAAATAGTTCATGTCCAAGAGAAGGAAGTGACTCTTGAAAACAAATTGTCTAAGGTCATATCAGTCAGAGGTAAAAATAACCAAAGAATTCTAAATATGCAAATTCTGCTTGAACAAACCTACTCATCCAGTGACAGAGACCAAAGTCCTGTGGGAGGTATAAGACCAGAGGCCTTAGAGGCTCGGGCTAAAGAAAACAAAGAAGCTGGAGGAAGCAGAAAGGCTCATGAGAGCCTGGCCTCTGCCTCTGAAGAGCTTGACCTCAGCCTCAGAGAACGCAGTGCAGCCTCTCTTGGACCACCAGGACAAGGACTTACCTGTTCTATGCTTTGGATTCTCTACAAGAGATTTAACATGATCACTTCGGTTACTTCAGGACATGTTTCATATAATCCAGGCTAGCATTGTTAGATTTTCTTCTCTTCTCCAGGATAAAATCTATTTTTGGAAGCAAACATTTTACTATTTTTCTATATCTTACAGCAAAACTAGCATTATCATTTTTGCAAAATGATTGTGTCTCATTCTGCCAGGGAGAGAGAATCGGCAAGATGAGATTGCTTTTATGTTCTCATTTATAATTTTCTTCCATAGCAACAGAAATTTTTAAGGAGATTTTTTGCAGATAAACATGCAGACCCCAGGCAAACCCTAAGTCTGCAAGCTCACATCCAGCAATCCTTTCTACTTCTTTTGAGAGAGGTTGTTGGACTGTTTCAAATCAACATTGCTCACTCTAATATGTTCATTCACTCAAACTATTGTCATTTGAAATATTTTATTTCTCATTATGGAGCAAGAACTTTAATTTTGGTAAGGGAATATGACACATTGGGGAAGATGCTGCTGTGTATTTTGAAGGTGGTTGTACCATAAACAGGGAACAGTGGCATTCCATCCCTTTACTTTCCTTATAAAAAAAATTTTTTTGGGGGGGGGGGTACTGGGAATTGAACTCAGGGGTCCTGAACCACTGAGCTACATCCCCATCCCTATTTTGTATTTTGTTTAGAGACAGGGTCTCACTGAGTTGCTTAGTGCCTCACAGTTGTTGAAGCTGGCTTTGAACTCAAGGCTCTCCTGTCTCAGTCTCCTAAGACGCTGGGATTACAGGCATGTGTCAACGCGCCAGGTCATAAAAAATATTTTTTAATTTAAAAAATTAAAAAGCCATACCCACATTCCCAGGCTGACTGTGAGAGTTCAGTTGTCTTGGTCATTTTAGAGAAGTTATGGGACCAAATCAGAAGAAAAAAGTTGGACTCTTCTTCATCCTATAGCTCTCCCTTGTCTCATAGAAACACATTCCCTTTTCCTCTGAATTTATAAGTAAGTCCTTGTTGGCTTCATGATCTTGGAATTTTAAAAAATGTTTTAGAAGCAGAGTATTTTTTTAAGAAGTACCTTAACTGATCCCACTTCTTCCTCTGCTTAATTGATTCCATTGCCCTCATTCCCTAAGATCTTCAAGAGACTGGGCAAGTACTGCCAATTCTCTGTCCCTTTTATCAACGTTGGTCTGAGTCTCCTCCTGCACTCTGCAGTCCTAATGTCACTTGAAAACAAAGTATCAACTCCCAAGAAAAAGACCTTCGAGAAGAAGGCATCCATTCTAATCATCTCTTTTTCTTTTATGCATATTAAGAGATTCTACTCTGTGCCATGGACTAGTAAAGTTAATAGTGTCTCTTTTCCAAGACTTTTGAACCATCTATACCAACCAAGTCTGTGAAAATTCTGTTTAACCTTATTAATAAAGTTTTTTTTTAAAAAGTATTAATTAATTATGGGGTTGGAATTGTAGCTCACTTGCCTTGTACACATGAGTTTCTGCATTCGATTATCAGCACCATATATAAATAAACAAATAAAATAAAGGACCACAAGCAAATAAAATAAAAATGTATTAATAAATGAGGAATGGATATGTAACTCAATGGTAGAATACTTGCCTACCAGGGGTGAAGCCCTGAGTTCAATTCTCTACACTGCAATAATTAATTAATTATTAACAAATGATTAACAAAATCAACTCACAGAAAACTGTTAGCTTATGGACCCTGTTAAATAATAGATTTGTGTTTACTGTATTGTAAATCATTAAGTAAAATCATACACCTTCTAACTTCCTAGTTTCTTGGGGAATAGTTCTCTTACCTGGATTAAGTGGCTGGAAAGAGAAGCAAAATTGAATTTTCCTCATGTCAGGGGAATTCAGAGAAGGTTCCAAATTATGGTGGTATTTGTGTAGCAACACAGCAGCACATTAGATAGATCATTAGAATCTCCTAAGAAGATAAAATCACCAGTGACATTTAGGAAAGAGACTACTTATTTAGAGCACTCTGAAATATTTAATTTGATGGAATTCAAAGAAAATTTTATCCATCTCATCAGTGGGCTGCTTTCATTTAAACAGTGCCATGCACTAGCAAGTTCAATCCAGCCACATTTTCAAATTCTCTCTTCAATGTTCAGGCCCACAAAGGTCAAATGTGTCCTACTAAAAGCTAGGCTCATTCCAAATAGATTGAAATAATGGCAGCTTGAAGAGTCAAGAGGTTTCATAAGTGTCTTACATAGAAGATTTCCCATCTGAAGGGAATACATTCTAGGGCTTCCCACAGAACAGAAAGGCTGTAGGTTTATGTGACACTGACATAGAGTTCTTTGAACAATTATACCTCTCTTAGAACACCCTATGTTCCAATGCCCTGTCAGTATTTTGATTGTTGAGGATCAAATATTATTAGTACCATTTAAACTTACTTTCACCAAAGAAAGCATAATCTTACTAAATTAAAATCAGGAATATAAAGTGATAACTAGGAATAGAAGCAATAGAATGAATTGAAGGCACCCAGGAAAACCTGTGCCTTCAAATTCAAGGTATTTTTCTGTATTGAGATAGGGATAGATGTACTATGATAGATAGATAGATAGATACTAAGCATATGGAATCAGATTATTTATTTAGGCAATAAAGATTTATTTCTTCTCAACACTATTAAAGCCAGTACTATTCTAAGCATTTAGAATATATTAGTGAAATAAAGACTCCTCCTCTTATGTAGCTTCTAGCTGGAGGCAAGCATATAGTAAATAATAAACATGATTGATAAATAAACCACATAGAATGTAATAAGGTACTCAGTGCTAATGGGGGGCAGGTAGAGCCAGGGTAGGAGTAGGGATAAGAGTGCTGACTAGGGTATAGCTCATTTAGAAAAGGACTGTTATGCAGAGAGTGGATCAATTTCCAGTCCTTAATAGTAGATCATTCATTGGATAGCCAAAAAGAAATGAAAATTTTAAGATAGGTGTTTGTCATAAAAATCATACATATAAATATGTGTCTATGTACCTGTTTCCTCTCAATGGCAATATAGCTTCAGATGTAAGCATTTTGGCCTAAACACTCTTTATGGGGTATAGTTTCAATCTGATGTTTTCAACCTGACCTTTTATTAACACACTTTTTACTAGAAATATAAAACTCGAATGTCAGTTATTAAGGTTTGATTTTTAGAAAATGCTCTGTGGAGAAGTAAGTGAGGTACAGATTCAACCTTCTCACTGAACTTTTACTGGTCCCAGGTACTTGGCTAAATAGTGTCTATATGGCAAATTCAAAAATATAGGCAATGATCTCAAAGAGTCTGCAGTTTAGTACTATTAACTGTGATACTTATTAGTATACCACAGTTATTATCACTATGTCAGGTCCTGATACAAATGCTTCACTTGTTGGCTCCACTAGCCTCCACAACAAGGTGATGAGGCTGGTACTGTCATTATCCCTGTGTATAGATGAGGAAACTGAAGCCCAGAGCAGCTCAGTGATTTGCTCAAGGCAACAACACTAGTTAGCTGACGGGCCAGGATTGGAATCCAGGCAATGTATTCCTAGAGCTTCTGCACACTCTCCTAAGAGGATATTAATCAGCTCAAAGTGATGGTAGAAAAGCCTTTGCACATGAAGCTTAGGTCTGCCTAAATGAGGCAAGCGTCAGCATCCTCTTTGGCATTCTTGTGCCACTTCTCAAGGGAAGCCTGCATCTCAGCATGCTATTCTGCACTGCCTCTACAGCAGAGGTGGTAAATAAAGCTGGGAAGAATTTCAAGCAATCCAAGAAGGAGAAGGGACTCTGGCTCATATGGCCTCAAGAGCTTCAGAGTCTGCTCTGCCATCCCTCCCAGCAGACATATTCCCACAGGCTGGGACCAGGTCAACTCTGAAGCCATTACCCTTGGAATTGCTCTTGACCCTGATCATGACCTTTGACCTTTGCACTTTTACATGGTTTTTATTTTTCTTTTAAAATGTTTTCTTTTAAAATTCTTCTGGGCATTGTGACTACCTTAGGTATTTAATGAACCATCTCATAGAAACAAATTTCCCCCAATATTATTGTTTTAGTATACTTAATGAGAATCGGTAAAGTGGCTTAAAGTTCCAACAGCTTTAGAGGGGAAAAAAAACAGCTATTGGAATTTGCATTCTAAGATTAATATGTGAACACTATTTATTTACCAACTAAAAATTAGTAATTATTTATAATGACAGAGCAGAGCTTGACTGAAGATTAGTAAGACTTGGACAAGGCAGTTACAGAAATAATAAATTATACAATCTATTAAATTGACATTATCCTGTTCTTTTTTGCAATCTGCTACTTAAACTCTGTTACTTAATTACTGCTTCATAGAAGAAAATATCTAATTAGGACCAATTCCAAGGGGCCACATTTGTAATCTAATATGTATATATATATGTGTGTGTGTGTGTGTGTGTGTGTGTGTGTGTGTGTACATATGCATATTCATACACTCACATTATTCCATATTTGTTTTCAGATTCATATAAGATTTTAAACAATATTTTTTAAAATAGTCTTCATAGACTGTCTTTAAGAGTGAATTATTTATATTTTCATAGTAATAGCCAATGCATTTAACAGTTAGACTTTCAGGAATATGAGCTATTCAGGATACATAGGATTCAATAAGGGAGACTGTCATAAAGTCCATGCAGATTGTTCCATAATGAGATATGTTCTCCTAGCAACTTCTTGGTAGAGGAAAAAAGGAGTATCAGAAGCCAGGATCCTAAAGAGGATAAAATAGAAGAGAACAGACAATAAAACAAACTTTACAAGACCAGCTATGTAGAAACACGTTGGAAAGGTGCCAACAACCCAATTATTTCTTTAAGGACTTTGCAATATAATAAGTAGTGTTCATAATAAAATACACCCTAATCATCAAGAAATGGTTAAATTTTATTCATTCTTCACTGGTTACCAAGAAGAAGGGCATCTCTCTTTGAATGGTTGGAAATGTTTCAGAACATGAAGCTTCAAAGTACCAATACTACTAAGCTCCTGTGAATCATTTTCCCCAAGACACAACACAAACAAGATGAACTTTTATGATACCAGGGGAACTGGTCAAAATGCTAATTAGAAATCAAACAACTTGGGTTCTAGGTTCTGTCACTTACACTGAGTGGGCCCAAAGGATCTTGGAAACCCTTGCTTGTCATCTGCACAAGAGTTAACTAACACCTGTCCTCCCTACCAAAGAAGATTTTTATAAGAATGAAAGGAGTTTTACACATGAGAACACTGTCAAAATTATGAAGAGTTTCCCCATCCCGAAATGTCATAAGTGAGTAAATTACCATAAGTAATTAATATTTTTCATTAAACCAATCAAATAATTTCCTTTTATAAATAAAAATGATAATACCTCATTCCTACCTGAAGACCATCTGGCCCATAGGTACTTGAGAAATACTGATCCAGTCAACAGTGACAAAACACAGAGAAGTTGGCTCTAGTATTGACTGAATATTTATAGTACTCATTAAATGTTATTTGCTCTACCCCTACCCCGTATTTGAAGGTGAAATATCAAACCATTGTCCTTTGTTATGATAAACCTGGAGTGAATTAATCGCCAACTTTTCATCATTTAATGGCAGCAGCTTATGAGATAATCCACCTGCTTTGGCATTTTAATGAAAATGAACAAGTTCCTTTAATGAAAGGAGCTAATTGCAATCCTCCGCCATGCTTGATCCTTTCCCTCAAATTTCCTCATTTTAATCTATATCCCTTTTGGACAAAAAAAAAAAAAAAGGTTTCAGGTTGAATGTACCAATACTCCCAGTCATCCCTACTGTGATTAATCAGAGAGAAGGTCTGGAAATTCAGAATAAAAACTGACATGAAGTACAAAGCCAGAAGGAGTGGAAGATTCTGTGAGGAAGTCAGGGGGCAGTGAGGACTGCTAAGGCAACTTATGTCACCATGCTATAGAGATCTATGAGGAGAAAGGAGGCAAGACAGGATTAGAAGGCAACATGATTGTATAGTTCTTCAATTGCTGCTATAACAAAACATTACATGAGGCTTAATACGCCACACATTTATAATATTGCAGTTCTGTAGGTTGGATGTTAGGTGTAGATTATAAGGTAAAACCAAAGTGTCAGGGGAGCTATTTTTCTTTCTGTTAGCTCTCAAATCCACTTCCTTGCCTTCTTCAGTTACTAGAGGCCACTCACATGCATTGGCTCATGGCCCTTCCTCCAGCTTCAAAGCTAGCAATAGCAAGTAAGTGCTTCTCACTTCACATCACTCTGACCACCTCGTTTGCCTCCCTTCTCCATGCATAAGGACTTGTGATTGGATAGGGTCTACCTGAATAATCAGGAGAACCTACTCATGTCAACTTTAATCACATCTGCAAACTCCCCTTTGCCATGAGACATACATAGTCATAGGTTCCACAGATGAGGACATGGAAGTCATAAAGGGAGGGGACACCGTTCTGTAAACCACAGTGCTATAGGTACTGTTTTCTTTCACTCTAGCTCACTTCAGTCAGCCTCCCACACAGTAATCAAAGGAATTGACAACAATGACCATGTTACACAACTGTTCAAGCTCCTTCACTGAATTCCTGACCTTCAGAATAAAGCACAACCTGAAAGATTCTTCATAATTTCACCAATATATGGGAAATGTTTTTTGTACTGGTACCAAGAGTAAGAAATTTATTTTAAAATCATAATTATAGGTGTTATGGTTTGGATGTGAGGTGTCCCCCAAAAGCTCATGTGTAAGACAATGCAAGAAAGTTCAGAGGATAAATCATTGGGTTGTAAGAGTCTTAACCCAAACAGTGAATTAATCCCCTGGTAGGGATTAACTAGGAGGGTATGGCTGGAGGAGGTGGGTATTGAGGCGTGGCTTTGGGGTATATATTTGTATCTGACAAG